TTTCATAATAGGGCTGTGTACCTTGGATACTTTTTCTTCCATTCCTGTGATACTTTGCTAAGAAGACACTTTCCAGCTCCAACCATGTGAACATGAAGGATGTAAAGTCTCCATCTTTCTTTACGGCTGCATAGTATTCCATGGTGTACATATACCACAGTTTGTTGATCCTTTTATGGATCAATGGGCTTCAAATATTTTATCCTAAAAATGGGTTGCCTCTGTAAATGTCCATATTTTTAATTCTAATTAAATGGAGTTTAGAAATTGTCCAAAAGCAAAATTATATCTTTATTTTTACTTGTTAGAATTTACTTTCTTAGTTTGCTTTCTCCTCTTTGTAATAAATATCTATAATATTAACAGTTGGAGAGGGCTGAGAGGAAGACTTTATAAAGTCATCCATAGTGGAAGCAGAGTAACCAACAACATCGAGACTTCTTACCATAGACAGAAAAAAAACATAGGAAAAAAATTATTCAATTCTTCCCAAATGGCTGGTCCAAGTGCAGTGGTATTTACAATTAATTAATCAATTCTTCCCAATTATTGTAATTATTTTAAATATAATTTTATCTAAACTTTCCACAAGCAATATATATATACATATGTATGCATAAACACATACACACACAGATATATATATACTCCATATTTTCTTAGGACCCATCAGTATAGCCAGAGTCTATATAATATACTCAGTTCTTAAGATAATTATTTTGAAATAATTCCACGAAGGATGTTTTCATTTTTTGACACCTATGGCTATTCAGTCATTCCTTATATGGCATTTGCCACTCTCTGCATTGTGCATCAATTATCTGAGTCATTATTTTCTCTTCCACTAAATCTTTTCATGGCAAGTAAAGATGGATACAGAAAATGAATAATTGCATTTATTACAGTTTTATTATGCTCACAAAACAACACATATATTTTATAGTAGGAATGTTTTCTAAACCTTTGAATAAGTATTAATACTATTTTTATTATTGAGGTGAGAAAACTGAAGCCCAGAGAAATTAACTGCATTTATCTAATTTCAATGCCTCAGCCTTCCATGACATTAGAGATCAGATTCATTTCTAAATGCCCCAAGGAAATGTGCATAAATCTTCACCCACAGAAATTCTTAACAAAAGAAAGGAAATATACATTTTCTTGAGCATACTCTGGCCTTACATATCATAAAATATTTGTCATCTCTGTTAAAAAATTGTTTTTGTCAATGGCTATGCAGGACTAACACACGTACAAAGTATTGAAAATGTTATCTGGAGTACACACAGCACACTGAAAATGCTTGACTAAGAGAGTCAGAACTTTAAATATTTCATTTTGTATTCAACCTACACACATATATAAACTAATAATCAAACAGTCTTTATTCTTACAGATTATAATTCACTTACTCTCTGAAATACACTGGATTTAGATGGACTAGATTTGGAAATGCAATTTTGTTAGTAAGTGTCAATTTCACACCTGTTGTGTGGTCCACAGTACTCGAAGACTAACAAAAAACTTTTTAACATGTATGTCACCACAAAAGCCCACCTTTGAACATATTTACCAAGTAGCTGATGGCATAGGCCTTTAAAATACACAGATTGTGTTCAAAGGTGTAAAAGCCACAGAATTAAGAACTTATTTTAGTAAAATGGGTCCATTGTGCAACAAACATTTCAAGTGTACTATAATAAATTATACTTCATGCCAGCTGCCCTGTTGTAAATTACCTCTGGAGAGATGCATAGGGCAAGCACCAGAAGGAGGACACTGGCCCATAGCCAGGGAGGAACTGAGCGGCTCAGTACCACAGCCTGTGAGGAGGTGAAGCCTGCCAACCATTGTTTCAGTGAGCTGCAAAGAGGCTCCTCCCCCAGTTATGCCTTCAGATAAGACTGAAGCCCTTGCCAACACTTTAATTGCAACATTGTAAGAAACTCTGAGGCAGAAAACCCAACTGGATGTGCTCCAATTGCTAACTCACAAAAGCTATCAGATGGTAATTGTTCTTTTTTTTTTTTCCGAAACCAGTAAAATTTGGTATAATTTTTCACACACTAAAAAATAACTTACACAGTCAATAACAGAAAATAACCTGCAAAACATAAATACCCTCCTTTAAAAATTGACTCATAAAACCATTTGCAAAGTACACATGCACCTATACCCACAAACAATATAGTAGCTAAGAACATCAATTTTGGAATAATGATTCTGGGTTTAAATGTAGCTCTTCCATTTCATCTAATTTGTAGTGAAGTCAATGGTGTTAAAACATGACTTCATACACATACATGATAATTGCAATAAAAACGGAAGCCAATCTCATTGTTCTGGCAGCTCACATTATGCCTGACACATAACTGTTGCTCAGTAAATACGTCTCTTCCACCTCCGTGTTTGATCAACCTAACACAATTGATTTCTAAGAAGTAAGTAGTTCTGAAACCAAAATGTATCCCATCATCTGAACTCATTATATCTGGAGTAAAATTCCGAATTGAATGGTTTTTAAGTTAAAAGTCAATCATAGCTCAATTCACAATCACCAAGACGTGGAATAAACCCAAGTGCCCATCAATCCATGAATGGATTAGTAAACTATGGTGTGTGTATACTATGGAATACTATTCAGCCATAAAAATGATGGAGACTTCATATCTTTTGTATTAACCTGGAAGGAGATGAAGAACATTCTCTCTGGTAAAGTATTGCAAGAATGAAAAAGCAAGTATCCAATGTACTCAGTGCTAATATTAAACCAGTAGATGAGCAAGCACACATCCTCACCAAAGAAAAACCCAAGTATGTTCCAGTGGGGGTGGAGGGCAGAGGGTAGGATGGGGGGGGCTTGGTAAGCTCTCACCTAATGAGCACAGTGCAGGGGTATACGGCACACCTCCCGGGTGAGCTGCTCAACTACAACTTGGACTTTAGCTAACAAATGCAAACACTGTAGCTTTACCATTTGTGCTCTCATTAATCTGAGATTTAAAAAGAAAAAAGTCAGCTAATACCAATTTAGAACTTAATTGTATTATCTAGAAAATCTGAGCATGTGGCTTGTTTTTTGAAGCATTAGCTAAAAAGAAAGAGATCAGAGAGCCCTTTCCCCAAATCAATAAAACAAAAGAGAGAGAAGATTCATAAGAAAACAAACACACTTTAAAATCTCCATGCAGTAACCCTCTTTAGTCTAGGCTCACAAAAAAGGACAGAGAAGAATTAGGTCAATAAACTTTCTATCTGTTATGCACCTACACTTTTACCTAATTTGGGTTTTTTTGTAAAATGTGCAAAGCTGAGGCACTTTTCATTGACTTTCCCTCTCATTTTCATTGTTTCCTCTTCTTAATGAGCAAACATGAGATTTACTGCACAAGCATCAGCCCAGAAGACAGAGAACCAGCAAAAGGTGGAAGTGCTTCTTAGTACTTGGCAAAAGAGCTGGAAGGACAGACTCTTGGTAGACTCTTATCTAAACCTCGTGGGTGTGTGAATTTAAAGCCTGAAGTCTTGTGAGAACGGATGGAGACACCACATTCTTGGTATTCCTCTCCAGTGGGACCAGAAATACCCATGGAGAAAGTTTCTCATGCACTCTTTGCCAACATATTACACTCCAATCTCCCACAGTACTCCCTTCTGCAGTGAGTTCTAATTTGCTTCAAAAAATAAACCAAGTACTTACATGGAAAGAAACCCTATCTGCTCAATGGCATCGAGGGGCACAATCCAAATGATTTTTAAAAAATGAATAGCCTACAGCATTCTTCCACGAGCTGTGGCTGCCTGCAGCTACGGGATCTCCATCTGCATGGAGAGCAATCGGGGGACACTTCCACAGCTCAAGTCAGCACAAAGCCTGCAGCTGCCATTCGCCTTTCCTATAACGTTTCGAAGAAGGAAAGAAAATAAAGAAATGAATAGCTTAGAAGATAAATTTGATTCCTATCATAGCAAACAGCTTCTGAGTAGATGATACTCTATTATTTCATCTTTCCTATTGGATACTTTCTACAGGAATCCCTTACAGATGCTATAGGCAACAAGGACCCTATGTCTGGGTCAGCAGAGATTCTCTGCACACATACAAAGAAAGGCAGCATCCAAGCTCCAGCACCTGTCCGTCACTAGGCAAAGCAATGCTTAAAGCCACAGAGATAGTAAATGACTCTCATCGCCAGAACCTAAAAGAAATTAGAACCAGCCTAATGAAAATCAGATAGTCACCTAAGAGAAATTTAATATACCGTTATGATTATTTTAATATCTTTTTGTTGTGATTTTATGTATGAGAAATAAGAGTGCTGGGAAAATACTAAAAGCTATGTCATAGGGAAATACTGACATTATTTCATCAATTAATATGAGAATTAGGAAAAAGTGGGGAAAAGAGAACATTAGCAAATTATTGATGAGATTAATGCAAAATTTAATGCAACAAATTATAACCAGTTTTCAATCATTTATGATTAGAGAAGTAGCTTAAAACAATAAGCTCTTCTCTTCAAGAGCAGGATGAACTTTGTCCAGTGAGTTGTGGCCCATTATAGAGCACCTCCCCCGATTGGGCAGGGCACCAGAAATGCTCCAAATCTAATCTCATATTCATTAAAGCATTCTAAGGTTCCCATTTAAAAAAAAAAAAAAAGAATTTTTTTCAATGCCGTAAAGGCTATGTTGACCAGTTTGATGAAAGCATTTCAAATTGTATGTAAAACCAGCACATTGTACCCCATGATTGCATTAATGTACACTGCTATGAGTTAATTAAAAAAAAAAAATCTCAAATGACTATCCTCAACATGGAGCTTAGCGTATTATAAGCATCCAATAAATATGTGTTCACTAAATGAAAAAAAAAGAATTTGATTTTAAACAGCATAGTATATGTTATTAGATTATTTCATAAAAGATTCCTGAAAAAATGGGATTAATGATAACACAGGTCTGACTTCCTTATCCAGGTAAAGTGGCCCAAGTAAAAGAATGCCCTGGAAATCACTGGGGATTAGATTTCCCCATTAAGTAGAAAGAACTTATTTTAATTAGTTGATTTAATCTCTTACGCTATGATTTTTTTCATAAAGCTGAAGGAATAAACCTAGAAACTAACGTGATTTTAATATCACTCATTCTTTTCCCTACTATTTAGAATGAGTAATGGACTGGCCTACATGCTTTTAGTATTAAAAAAAAATCTGAAAAAAAAATAACTCAATAAAATATAATGAAGTGGAACATTGTTCCTTATAAAGGCAAGTGATGGTTATGACATTTTCCAAAAAGTACTACAGTTAAATAACTTGCCAAGGTCAATTTTGGGCGATTTCAGAAATGGTGCCTCTCCTTGAACTTCAACAGTTGGTAAGCATGATCCTTTAGGTTTCCCTACAAGACTAGTTAGAGTAGGAACTAAATAGGAAAACTGCTTGCCAAATTGTGGAAAGATGGCTGCCTGCAAAACAGACCCTGAATGG